TTGGATGATCCAGAAGAGGATTGGGAGAATGTCTATGGTCAGATGAAACCAAAATAGAACTTTTTGGTTAAAAAACTAAAACTCGTGTGTTTGGAGGACAAAGAATGCGAGTTGCATCCAAAGAACACCAAATACCTATGTGAAGCATGGGGGTGGAAAACATCATGCTTTGGGGCTGTTTTTTCTGCAAAGGGACCAGGAGACCCGATCCGTTGTAAAGGAAAGAATGAATGGGGCCATGTATTGTGAGGTTTTGAGTGAAAAACTCCTTCCATCAGCAAGGGTATTGAAGATGGAAAAGTGGCGGGTCTTTCGCATGACAATGATCCCAACACACTTCCCCCGGGCAACGAAGGAGTGGCTGTAAGAAGCATTTCAAGGTCCCGGAGTGGTCTAGCCAGTCTCCAGATCTCAACCCCATAGAAAATCTTTGGAGGGAGTTGAAAGTCCGTGTTGCCCAGCGACAGCCCCAAAACATCCACTGCTCTAGAGGAGATCTGCATGGAGGAATGGGCCAAAATAAACCCGCAACATGTGTGAAAAACCTTTTGAAGACTTACAGAAAACGTTTGACCTGGTCATTGCCAAACAAAGGGTATATAACAAAGTATTGAGAAACTTTTTTATTGACCAAATACTTTTTTCCCCCATAATTGCTAATAAATTTTAAAAATCCTACAATGGATTTTCTGGTTTTTTTTTTCCTATTTGTTTGTCATAGTTGAGTGTCCCTATGTGAAAATTACGGGCCTCTTCATCTTTTTTAAATGGGAGAACTTGACAATTTGGGGGTACTAAAATATTTTTTTTTTCCACGTATTTTCGGCAGCTTTTTTGCAAGGCTGGGCCACTTGTGGTCCTTGTCTTTTCATGTTTTTCAAATAAGATGGTTTTGAAATTCTTTGGCCTTTTTTAAAAAAAGCACCTTTTTTTGTTGCAGATGTTTTGGGGGAAATTTTTGGAGAGGCCCCCCCAAATCTTGGGGGGGCCCAAAAAACCCTTTCCCGTTGGTTCAATTTGTTGGAACATCTGCACTACCCTTGAGAGACGCAGACTCGGTCTCAGCCTTTAAGTCTTTACTGAAGACTTCCTTCATAGTCATATGATTGAGTGTAGTCTGGCCCAGGAGTGTGAAGGTGAACGGAAAGGCTCTGGAGCAACGAACAGCCCTTGCTGTCCTCTGCCAGGCCGGTTCCCCTCTCCACTGGGGTTCTCTGCCTCTAACCCTGTTGCAGGGGCTGAGTCACTGGCTTGCTGGTGCTCTTTCATGCCGTCCCTGGGAGGGGTGCATCACTTGAGTGGGTTGAGTTACTGACGTGATCTTCCTGTCTGGGTTGGCGCCCCCCCCTTGGTTTGTGCTGTGGTGGAGACCTCTGTGGGCTATACTCGGCCTTGTCTCAGGATTGTAAGTTGGTGGTTGAGGATATCCCCTCTAGTGGTGCGGGGGCTGTGCTTTGGCAGAGTGGGTGGGGTTATATCCTTCCTGTTTTGGCCCTGTCCGGGGGTTTCTTCTTCGGATGGGGCCACAGTGTCTCCGGACCGCTCCTGTCTCAGCCTCCAGTATTTATGCTGCAGTAGTTTATGTGTCGGGGGGCTGGGGTTAGTTGGTTATACCTGGAGTACTTCTCCTGTCTTATCCAGTGTCCTGTGTGAATTTAAGTATGCTCTCTCTAATTCTCTCGTTTCTCTCTTTCTCTCTGAGAACCTGAGCCCTAGGACCATACGTCAGGACTACCGGGCATGATGACACCTTGCTGTCCCAGTCCGCCTGGCCTTGCTGCTATTCCAGTTTCAACTGTTCTGCCTGCGGTTACGAAACCCTACCTGTCCCAGACCTGCTGTTTTCAACTCTTAATGATCGGCTATGAAAAGCCAACTGAGAGACCTGAGCCCTAGGACCATACGTCGGGACTACCGGCCGTGGTGACTCCTTGCTGTCCCCAGTCCGCCTGGCCTTGCTGCTATTCCAGTTTCAACTGTTCTGCCTGCGGTTATGGAACCCCTACCTGTCCCAGACCTGCTGTTTTCAACTCTTAATGATCGGCTATGAAAAGCCAAACTGAGATTATTCCTGATTATTATTTGACCCATGCTTGTCACTTATGAACATTTTTGAACATTCTTGGCATGGTTCTGTTATAATCTTCACCCGGCACAGCCAGAAGAGGACTGGCCACCCCCTCATAGCCTGGTTCCTCTCTAGGTTTCTTCCTAGGTTTTCGCCTTTATAGGGAGTTTTTCCTAGGCCACCGTGCTTCTACACCTGCATTACTAGCTGTTTGAGGTTTTAGGCTGGGTTTCTGTACAGCACTTCGAGATATTAGCTGATGTAAGAAGGGCTATATAAAATAAAATTGATTGAAAATTGATTGAAATTGATTGATATGGCCTGGAAATCAGATCTCCAGTTTTACGGTATCTAACTATCTAACTACTAGTTTAACTACTGGCTAGAGCTGGGCCATATGGCCTGGAAATCAGATCTCCAGTTGTACGGTATCTAACTATCTAACTACTAGTTTAACTACTGGCTAGAGCTGGGCCATATGGCCTAGAAATCAGATCTCCAGTTTTAAAGGTATCTAACTACAGTATCTAACTACTGGCTAGAGCTGGGCCATATGGCCTGGAAATCAGATCTCCAGTTTTACGGTATCTAACTACAGTATCTAACTACTGGCTAGAGTTGGGCCATATGGCCTGGAAATCAGATCTCCAGTTTTACGGTATCTAACTATCTAACTATCTAACTACTGGCTAGAGCTGGGCCATATGGCCTAGAAATCAGATCTCCAGTTTTACGGTATCTAACTATCTAACTACTGGCTAGAGCTGGGCCATATGGCCTAAGAAATCAGATCTCCAGTTTTACGGTATCTAACTATCTAACTACTGGCTAGAGCTGGGCCATATGGCCTGGAAATCAGATCTCCAGTTGTACGGTATCTAACTATCTAACTACTAGTTTAACTACTGGCTAGAGCTGGGCCATATGGCCTGGAAATCAGATCTCCAGTTTTACGGTATCTAACTATCTAACTACTAGTTTAACTACTGGCTAGATCTGAGCCATATGGCCTAGAAATCAGTCTCCAGTTTTACGGCATCTAACTATCTAACTACTAGTTTAACTACTGGCTAGAGCGAGCCATATGGCCTAGAATCAGATCTCCAGTTTTACGGTATCTAACTATCTAACTACTAGTTTAAAATACTGGCTAGAGCTGGGCCATATGGCCTGAAATCAGATCTGAAACTATGGAGTTTAACAGCTTGTGTGCAATTTGATTTATTTTTTTGCCGCTACTCAAGTCCCTTTACAATCAGGACCGACGACAGTCCGTTATAATAGGACACAGCTTGTTTACAAATTAGTCAAGCTTGATGATTTGGTTACTTGATCGCTGGTTGTCGTGCTAGGGCAAAAAAACCAAAACGTGCACCCATGGGGGAGGGGGGGGGGGGTCACGGCCGGTCGTGATACAGCCTGGAATCGAACCAGGGGGTCTGTAGTGACGCCCCAAGCACTGAGAGGCAGTGCCTTAGACCGCTGCGCCACTCGGGAGCCCAAATGACAAAAGCACAGCGCCAAAGCAACCGTACAGTGGCTGAAGAACAAGAAGGGGAATGTCCTTGAGTGGCCTAGTCAGAGCCCCGACCTACATCCCATCCAGAATCTGTGGAATAATAATAATAATTATCCAAAGCGACTTACAGTCATGCGTGCATACATTTTTACGTATGGGTGGTCCCGGGGATCGAACCCACTACCCCTGGCGTTACAAGCGCCGTGCTCTACCAGCTGAGCTACAGAGGACTGAAGAGTGCAGTCCATGAGCGGTCACCATGCAATTTGACTGAGCTTGAACAATTCTGCGAGGAAGAATTGGGGCGAATATTGGACAGTCTAGGGGTGAAAAGGTAGTAGAGACGTATTCAAAGAGACTCATGGCTTTAATTCAAGCCAAAGGTGGTTCCACCAAGTATTAACTCAGGGCGGGGGTTCACTTATCCAAATAGGGTATTTTACCGTTTTTAATGTTATTTAATTTCCAGAGTTTTTTTTTAGATGTTGTTTTTTCACTTGGATATTGTGGGTTACTGTGTGTAAATCAAGCCGGAAAAAGTCTGATTTTATGTGTTTTTATTTCAGGCTGTAAGGCAACAAAAGGTGAACATTTTGAAAAGGGTGGTGACTTTCTATACCCACTGTACATGCCTAGTTTAATATAATATAATAATATGCCATTTAGCAGACGCTTTTATCCAAAGCAACTTACAGTCATGTGTGCATAAATATTTTTTTGTGTATGGGTGGTCCCGGGGATCGAACCCACTACCTTGGCGTTACAAGCGCCGTGCTCTACCAGCTGAGCTACAGAGGACCGCAGTGAAATTTGACACTGAAGGAGAGGATGCATCAGTTGTGTCAAAAGATTAGGTATTTTCAGAAGGTAGATAGAATGTAACAATGAGCAACAAGTGAACGGTCAATTTGTAACGTTTTGAATCCATTTCCTGACCTATGCATGCTACATTTGGATGGATTGGGGGGTCCTTGGACCGATACGGTTGTATTTCCTGACCTATGCATGCTACATTTGGATGGATTGGGGGGTCCTTTGACCGATACGGTCGTATTTCCTGACCTATGCATGCTACATTTGGATGGATTGGGGGGTCCTTGGACCGATACGGGTTTGTATTTCTGACCTATGCATGCTACATTTGGATGGATTGGGGGGTCCTTTGACCGATACGGTCGTATTTCCTGACCTATGCATGCTACATTTGGATGGGTTGGGGGGTCCTTGGACCGATACGGTTGTATTTCCTGACCTATGCATGCTACATTTGGATGGGCTGGGGGGTCCTTGGACCGATACGGTCGTATCTTCAACAGTTGAACCGGGGAGCGATGTGAATGGTTACATCCCTATTCACGGCTGATTCCCCAGAACAGATTGACACAAGACAAATAGATAAATACGTTTGTGACATCACCACTGACCTTTGCCCTCTGTATGGCTGAGCTGTGATTGGCCGTAGTCACAGATGACCCCGGCGTCTTCGCTATGGCGACAGTTATGCGTCCCGGTTGGCTGTTTGAGGCAGTCGACCAACGAACGCTCCTCGCCAGAGCACTTCACGTTGTCCACATGGATAGGCCCCTCCCCCTCACCAAAATACGCCATCACACGGGCCTTTGCCACTCCACTGAAGAACACAGACACACACATTATTAGAGAGAGTTAATGAGCGTGAAGTACACTTCCACAAAACATAAAGATACATTTAGACACTGAAGATACCATTAAAACAACTATGATACCATTAAAACAACTATGATACCATTAAAACAACTATGACACTTAAAACAACTATGCATAGGTCTACCAACTGAATCATCATAGGTCTACCAACTGAATCATCATAGGTCTACCAACTGAATCATCATAGATCTACCAACTGAATCATTGTAACTAACTGAATCAACATAGATCTACCAACTGAATCAACATAGATCTACCAACTGAATCAACATAGATCTACCAACTGAATCAACATAGATCTACCAACTGAATCATCATAGGTCTACCAACTGAATCATCATAGGTCTACCAACTGAATCATCATTGTAACTGTTGTAGTGAATTACTATTGCAAATCTTCAATAGCCAGGGCGTTTATTGGCTTCAATCACCGAACACAACCGTCGCTTATTCGAGATAGGATTCTATCTGAGCCAGGCGTCTATTTCCTTAACGCTAGAACTCTTAGTTGCTACATCCATTTTTGGACTTGTACATTTATGACACACCCATTGATTCTTGAAGAATATAACTTATTAATGCGTCATGAGCTCAGCTCAACTGTCAAACCTCATCAGAACCCAAAATAGAAGCTGTTTTTACTCCAATGTTTCTAAACACACCCTATAGCCTCAGAACATGGTTCAGATATATCATGGTGATGTCATGGACGGCCAGGCCTTGCATCCGTAGCTCTGTCTATGAATTTGAGAGTGGTTACATTTCTACCCATCGGATCAGAGAGACAGAATAAGACCAGTTGTTAATGTGACCCGTATAAACATCAGACTAATACATCCATCAGATCAGAGAGACAGACTAAGCTGCCTAACAGCCAGCCCAGATGGAGCTCTTCAGCACCGTTCTCTCACTGTGCCTCGTTGAGCCTGGTATCCAACGTTCTCTCACTGTGCCTTGTTGAGCCTGGTATCCAGCATTCTCTCACTGTGCCTCGTTGAGCCTGGTATCCAGCGTTCTCTCACTGTGCCTTGTTGAGCCTGGTATCCAGCATTCTCTCACTGTGCCTTGTTGAGCCTGGTATCCAGCATTCTCTCACTGTGCCTCATTGAGCCTGGTATCCAGTGTTCTCTCACTGTGCCTCGTTGAGCCTGGTATCCAGTGTTTCTCCTCACTGTGCCTCGTTGAGCCTGGTATCCAGCGTTCTCTCACTGTGCCTTGTTGAGCCTGGTATCCAGCGTTTCTCCTCACTGTGCCTCGTTGAGTGTTGTATCCAGCGTTGTCTCACTGTGCCTCATTGAGCCTGGTATCCAGCGTTCTCTCACTGTGCCTTGTTGAGCCTGGTATCCAGCGTTCTCTCACTGTGCCTCATTGAGCCTGGTATCCAGCGTCCTCTCACTGTGCCTTGTTGAGCCTGGTTTCCAGCGTTCTCTCATTGTGCCTCGTTGAGCCTGGTATCCAGCGTTCTCTCACTGTGCCTCGTTGAGCCTGGTATCCAGCGTTATGCCCGTTGAGCCTGGTATCCATCCGCGTTCTCTCATGTGCCTCGTTGAGTGTTGTATTCAGCGTTCTCTCACTGTGCCTCGTTGAGTGTTTGTATCCCAGCGTTTCTCTCACTGTGCCTTGTTGAGCCTGGTATCCAGCGTTCTCTCACTGTGCCTCGTTGAGCCTGGTATCCAGTGTTCTCTCACTGTGCCTTGTTGAGCCTGGTATCCAGCGTTCTCTCACTGTGCCTTGTTGAGCCTGGTATCCAGCGTTCTCTCACTGTGCCTTGTTGAGCCTGGTATCCAGCGTTCTCTCACTGTGCCTCGTTGAGTGTTGTATCCAGCGTTGTCTCACTGTGCCTCATTGAGCCTGGTATCCAGCGTTCTCTCACTGTGCCTTGTTGAGCCTGGTATCCAGCGTTCTCTCCCTGTGCCTCATTGAGCCTGGTATCCGCGTCCTCTCACTGTGCCTTGTTGAGCCTGGTTTCCAGGTTCTTTGCCTTGTTGAGCCTGGTATCCAGCGTTCTCTCACTGTGCCTTGTTGAAACTTGTATCCACTGTTGTTGCAGCCGGATCTCAGCAGATACACTTCAGTATTCAACGTTTGTCCAGGTCCCCTGAACGACAAGAGATGCCTTCAATACCGTCCACTAGGGGGCAATGTGAGCACGTATTACTTTATGCTAAACAGTCCATTTTTTCTTTTTGAACAACATTAACCCTTCCCTACTTTCATTTCCCCCATAGACTTTTATCCCCTCTCCCCTCCCGGGCAAACGTTGAATACTGAAGTGAAACCGTGAGATCTTGTTGGTAGTTGAGCCGTCCACCTCAAACCACACTGCTGTCTCCTCCATGTCAAACCACACTGCTGTCTCCTCCATGTCAAACCACACTGCTGTCTCCTCCATGTCAAACCACACTGCTGTCTCCTCCACCTCAAACCACACTGCTGTCTCCTCCACCTCAAACCACACTGCTGTCTCCTCCATGTCAAACCACACTGCTGTCTCCTCCATGTAAAACCACACTGCTGCCTCCTCCATGTCAAACCACACTGCTGTCTCCTCCATGTCAAACACACTGCTGTCTCCTCCACCTCAAACCACACTGCTGTCTCCTCCACCTCAAACCACACTGCTGTCTCCTCCATGTCAAACCACACTGCTGTCTCCTCCATGTCAAAACCACCTGCTGTCCTCCTCCACCTCAAACCACACTGCTGTCTCCTCCATGTCAAACCACACTGCTGCCTCCTCCATGTCAAACCACACTGCTGTCTCCATGTCAAACCACACTGCTGCCTCCTCCATGTCAAACCACACTGCTGTCTCCAACATGTCGCCAAACCACACTGCTGCCTCCTCCATGTCAAACCACACTGCTGCCTCCTCCATGTCAAACCACACTGCTGCCTCCTCCATGTCAAACCACACTGCTGTCTCCTCCATGTCAAACCACACTGCTGTCTCCTCCATGTCAAACCACACTGCTGTCTCCTCCACCTCAAACCACACTGCTGTCTCCTCCATGTCTAACCACACTGCTGTAAACAATTCAGTCTTTACGGTACTCACTGAAGTTCCCTTGTAAACAATTCATTTAGACACGACATTTCCTTAAAACAGGTGTTTATTTCCTTAAAACAGGTGTTTATTTCCTTAAAACAGGTGTTTATTTCCTTAAAACAGGTGTTTATTTCCTTAAAACAGGTGTTTATTTGCTGAAATGTGTGACGATGCCCGGCTATTAAAAGGGCCAGGGCGGCTATTGAGTTTTTAAACCGGTATCTAAGTACAGTATCTAACTACGGTATCTAACTACAGTATCTAACTACAGTATCTAACTACAGTATCTAACTACAGTATCTAACTATCTAACTACTGGCTAGAGCTGGGCCATATGGCCCTGGAAATCATGATCTCCAGTTTTACGGTAATCTAACCTATCTAACTCTAGTTTAATACTAAGCTGGCTAATCTGGGCCCTATGGCCTGGAAATCAGATCTCCAGTTTTACGGTATCTAACTATCTAACTACTGGCTAGAGCTGGGCCATATGGCCTGGAAATCAGATCTCCAGTTTTACGGTATCTAACTACTGGCTAGAGTTGGGCCATATGGCCTGGAAATCAGATCTCCAGTTTTACGGTATCTAACTATCTAACTACTGGCTAGAGCTGGGCCATATGTGAAGGAAAACTGTGAAGGACCTCGGCGTTACTCTTGACCCTGATCTCTCTTTTGACGAAACATATCAAGACTGTTTTCAAGGACAGCTTTTTTCCATCTACGTAACATTGCAAAAATCAGAAATTTTCTGTCCAAAAATTATGCAGAAAAATTAATCCATGCATTTGTTACTTCTAGGTTAGACTACTGCAATGCTCTATTTTCCGGCTACCCGGATAAAGCACTAAATAAACTTCAGTTAGTGCTAAATACGGCTGCTAGAATCCTGACTAGAACCAAGAAATTTGATCATATTACTCCAGTGCTAGCTTCCCTACACTGGCTTCCTGTTAAGGCAAGGGCTGATTTCAAGGTTTTACTGTTAACCTATAAAGCGTTACATGGGCTTGCTCCTACCTATCTTTCCGAGTTGGTCCTGCCGTACATACCAATACGTACGCTACGGTCTCAAGACGCAGGCCTCCTAATTGTCCCTAGAATTTCTAAGCAAACAGCGGGAGGCAGGGCTTTCTCCTATAGATCTCAATTTTTATGGAACAGTCTGCCTACCCATGTGAGAGACGCAGACTCGGTCTCAACCTTTAAGTCTTTACTGAAGACTTATCTCTTCAGTAGGTCATATGATTGAGTGTAGTCTGGCCCAGGAGTGTGAAGGTGAACGGAAGGCTCTGGAGCAACGAACAGCCCTTGCTGTCTCTGCCAGGCCGGTTCCCCTCTCCACTGGGGTTCTCTGCCTCTAACCCTGTTGCAGGGGCTGAGTCACTGGCTTGCTGGTGCTCTTTCATGCCGTCCCTGGGAGGGGTGCATCACTTGAGTGGGTTGAGTTACTGACGTGATCTTCCTGTCTGGGTTGGCGCCCCCCCCTTGGTTTGTGCTGTGGTGGAGACCTCTGTGGGCTATACTCGGCCTGTCTCAGGATTGTAAGTTGGTGGTTGAGGATATCCCTCTAGTGGTTGCGGGGGCTGTGCTTTGGCAGAGTGGGTGGGGTTATATCCTTCCTGTTTGGCCCTGTCCGGGGGTTTTCTTTCGGATGGGGCCACAGTGTCTCCGGACCGCTCCTGTCTCAGCCTCCAGTATTTATGCTGCAGTAGTTTATGTGTCGGGGGGCTGGGGTTAGTTGGTTTATACCTGGAGTACTTCTCCTGTCTTATCCAGTGTCCTGTGTGAATTTAAGTATGCTCTCTCTAATTCTCTCGTTCTCTCTTTCTCTCTGAGACCTGAGCCCTAGGACCATACGTCAGGACTACCGGGCATGATGACACCTTGCTGTCCCCAGTCCGCCTGGCCTTGCTGCTATTCCAGTTTCAACTGTTCTGCCTGCGGTTACGAAACCCCTACCTGTCCCAGACCTGCTGTTTTCAACTCTTAATGATCGGCTATGAAAAGCCAACTGAGAGACCTGAGCCCTAGGACCATACGTCGGGACTACCGGCCGTGGTGACTCCTTGCTGTCCCCAGTCCGCCTGGCCTTGCTGCTATTCCAGTTTCAACTGTTCTGCCTGCGGTTATGGAACCCCTACCTGTCCCAGACCTGCTGTTTTTCAACTCTTAATGATCGGCTATGAAAAGCCAACTGAGATTTATTCCTGATTATTATTTGACCATGCTTGTCACTTATGAACATTTTTGAACATCTTGGCATGGTTCTGTTATAATCTTCACCCGGCACAGCCAGAAGAGGACTGGCCACCCCTCATAGCCTGGTTCCTCTCTAGGTTTCTTCCTAGGTTTTCGCCTTTCTAGGAGTTTTTCCTAGCCACCCGTTCTTCTAACACCTGCATTACTAGCTGTTTGAGGTTTTAGGCTGGGTTTCTGTACAGCCACTTCGAGATATTAGCTGATGTAAGAAGGCTATATAAAATAAATTGATTGAAAATTGATTGAAATTGATTGATATGGCCTGGAAATCAGATCTCCAGTTTTACGGTATCTAACTATCTAACTACTAGTTTAACTACTGGCTAGAGCTGGGCCATATGGCCTGGAAATCAGATCTCCAGTTGTACGGTATCTAAACTATCTAACTACTAGTTTAACTACTGGCTAGAGCTGGGCCATATGGCCTAGAAATCAGATCTCCAGTTTTACGGTATCTAACTACAGTATCTAACTACTGGCTAGAGCTGGGCCATATGGCCTGGAAATCAGATCTCCAGTTTTACGGTATCTAACTACAGTATCTAACTATGGCTAGAGTTGGGCCATATGGCCTGGAAATCAGATCTCTCCAGTTTTACGGTATCTAACTATCTAACTATCTAACTACTGGCTAGAGCTGGGCCATATGGCCTAGAAATCAGATCTCCAGTTTTAACGGTATCTAACTATCTAACTACTGGCTAGAGCTGGGCCATATGGCCTAGAAAATCAGATCTCCAGTTTTTACGGTATCTAACTATCTAACTACTGGCTAGAAGCTGGGCCATAGGCCTGGAAATCAGATCTCCAGGTTGTACGGTATCTGAACTATCTAACTACTAGTTTAACTACTGGCTAGAGCTGGGCCATATGGCCTGGAAATCAGATCTCCAGTTTTAACGGTATCTAACTATCTAACTACTAGTTTAACTACTGGCTAGATCTGAGCCATATGGCCTAGAAATCAGATCTCCAGTTTTACGGCATCTAACTATCTAACTACTAGTTTAACTACTGGCTAGAGCTGAGCCATATGGCCTAGAAATCAGATCTCCAGTTTTACGGTATCTAACTATCTAACTACTAGTTTAACTACTGGCTAGAGCTGGGCCATATGGCCTAGAAATCAGATCTCCAGTTTTACGGTATCCTAACTATCTAACTACTGGCTAGAGCTGGGCCATATGGCCTGGAAATCATATCTCCCAGTTTTAACGGTATCTAACTATACTAACTACTGGCTAGAGCTGGGCCATATGGCCTAGAAATCAGATCTCCAGTTTTACGGTATCTAACTATCTAACTACTAGTTTAACTACTGGCTAGAGTTGGGCCATATGGCCTAGAAATCAGATCTCCAGTTTTACGGTATGCTACTTCTACTACTAAGTTTAACTACTGCTAGAGGCTGGGCCATATGGCCTAAAATCCGTCTCCATTTTACGGTATCTACTACTAACTATCTACTACTAGTCTAACTACTGCTAGATCTGGGCCATAGGCCTGTGAAATCAGATCTCCAGTTTTTTACGGTATCTACCCTACCAGTGATCTAACTACTAGTCTAACTACGGCTAAGAGCTAGAGCCATATGGCCTGGAAATCAGGATCTCCAGTGTTACGGTATCGAACTACAAGTATCTAACTACTAGTCTAACTACTGGCTATAGCTGAAGGCCATATGGCCTGGAAATCAGATCTCTCCATTTTTATACGTATCTAACTATCTAACTACTCTACCTACTGGCTAGACTGGGCCATATGGGCCTCGAAATCAAGATCTCCCGTTTTTATACGGTTCTAACTATCTAACTACTATTTTATACTGGCTAGAGCTGGGCCATATGGCCTAGAAATCAGATCTCCAGTTTTATAGGTTCTACTAGCTAACTACTAGTTACTACTGCTAGATCTGAGCCATGGCCCTGGAAATCATCTCTCAGTTTACTTACGGTACGAACTATCTAACTACTGGCTAAGCTGGGCCATATGGCCTAGAATCAGATCTCCGTTTTACGGTATCTACTATCTAACTACTAGTTTAACTACGGCTAGAGCTGGGCCCATATGGCCTGGAAATCAGATCCTCCATTTTAACAGTATATAACTTCTAACTACTGCTAGAGCTGGCCAGATGGCCTTGGAAATCATATCTTCTCCAGTTTTACGCATCTAACTACATCATCTAACTATCAAACTACAGTAATCAACTACTGGCTAGAGCTGGCCATATGGCCCTGGAA